ATACAGCACGGTCACATGACTTCATGTCACCACCGCTAAGCTAAAGGTGGCTAATGTTGGGCTATAAAGGAACTACAGCACGGTCACATGACTTCATGTCACCACCGCTAAGCTAAAGGTGGCTAATGTTGGGCTATAAAGGAACTACAGCACGGTCACATGACTTCACGTCACCACCGCTAAGCTAAAATAGGCTAATGTTGGGCTATAAAGGAACTACAACACGGTCACATGAATTCACTTCACCACCGCTAAGCTAAAGGTGGCTAATGTTGGGCTATAAAGGAACTACAGCACGGTGACATGACTTCAGGACTCATAATACGGACTCATGCCAGGGTTCAGGACCCATAATGCTGACTCATGCCAGGATTTAGGACTCATAATGCTGACTCATGTCAGGATTTAGGACTCATAATGCTGACTCATGTCAGGGTTCAGGACTCATAATGCTGACTCATGTCAGGGTTTAGGACTCATAATGCTGATTTATTAAGTCCTGGTTTCCTAGATGTTACTCTACAAAGACATTACGTCAGTTTATTCCCTGTCAGTTAAATACGATTTCAACATAATCGGGTTATTTTGTAGTTTGACCTGAATGACAGCCCATAAAATGAAATATGATGCTGAAATGGAGTTTCGTGAAAGGCCGGAATAAAAGCCTTCAAGGATTCACAAATCCCTGAAGGATCCACAAACACTACAGAGCTTCAGGGGAAACTCAGGCTGTTTCTCAATGTCGAGTAAAGCTGCTCCAGAGCCACTATTTCAAGTATACTACGTCATCGAGTGGCGCCGAATCACTGTTTAAATGCCCAGCATACATGTGCTACCAAGCAAGCCTCCTCGACATTGAGAAACGGCCTCAGTCTGATGTTTTAATCTGATTACTTTTCAGGTGACAACTAAAATGGCGCCCTGGTGTTGTGCCTCTGTTTTTGTTCGCACTACCAGACACAAAATCTAATTCTTTGTATGTGTAAACGTACTTGGCAATAAACTTGATTCTGATTTATTGATATAAGTGTGTCTGTGTCTGTAGTTAACTTACATTTTATAAACGTATCATGTGACTTAGAAATCCTAAATCTAGAGAAAAATGGGAGTTAAATAATCATTTAAAAAAAGACATGAAGTGACTGTGTAACGTCACTCTTCATCATGAGGCTTTGAGAGGGTCGATCTTGTGATTTAAATACAAATAAAAAGCAATGAAAGCGTTAAATAAGGAAGGCTTTCTCTGTGAGAAGTTATCAGATAAAGAATCCAACGGCCGGACGCCAGAGAGCGAGAAGAAGAGCTGTGATTGGCTGAGACAGCAGTGGAGGCGGGAAGGTTTTGGGAGAAGAAGAGCTGTGATTGGCTAACACAGCAGTGGAGGAGGGAACGTGTTGGGAGAAGAACAGCGGTGATTGGCGGAGGGCGATGCGGAGGCGGGAGGGTTTTTTGGAGAAGAAGAGCGGTGATTGGCTGAGGGCGGTACCCATCAGTCGGTAAATAAGACGCCGGTTTGGAAGTTTGAACATAGAGAAGCAGCCGCGGCGGAATAACGCGTTTTAACGGATATTTAATAGGAAATAAAGCAGGTAGAAACAGAACTAAGGTGGCGGGAGGCTCCACTGACTCGGGCCCGTCAGCTGGAGGCTTTGGGAACATGGTGGAACATACGCAGCATGGTGGGTCCCGGGAGACGGCCTCACCGTGCAGCTCCGCACCGCTACAGACGGCCTCACCGTGCAGCTCCGCACCGCTACAGACGGCCTCAGCGTGCAGCTCCGCACCGCAGAAACCAGACCGCTGGAAGACCGCCACGGGACACATCAAGAGGCCGATGAACGCCTTCATGGTGTGGTCCAAGATCGAGAGGAGGAAGATCATGGACCAGTCCCCGGACTTGCACAACGCGGAGATCTCCAAGCGGCTCGGGAAGCGCTGGAAGCTGCTCAGAGACTCGGAGAAGATCCCGTTCATCCGGGAGGCGGAGCGACTCCGGCTACAGCACATGGCCCAACATCCGGACTACAAGTACCGGCCCAGGAAAAAGGCCCGGACCGAGGGCTGTACTGGAGTCTCTTCCCCGGAGAAAACCTCCGCCGTGAGACCCACCTCCGGCGTGAGACCCACCCCCGTCGTGAGACCCACCCCCGTCTCGAGACCCACCCCCGTCTCCACCGTGAGACCCACCTCCACTGTGAGACCCACTTCCACAGATAAGAAGTTCTCCCGGTTGAAGCCCAGCAGCACCAGGAGTCCGGGTCAGGTCCCGGTGCAGCAGGACCCCCGGTACCGCTACGTGCTGACCAGCAGCTTCACGGCCACTAAGCTCGTTAAACGGGAGTTCACCGACTCCGAGGAAGAGGAGGAAGATGAGGAGGACGAAGAGGAGATAAAGAGTGAAGAAGAGGAGGAGAGGCTCTTCTACAGCTTCAAGAATATCACCCGGCAGCAGAGCTCTGTCCCCCGGCCGCAGAGCTCTGTCCCCCGGCCGCAGAGCTCTGTCCCCCGGCCGCAGAGCTCCAGCAGCTCGGCCTCCTCCTCCAGCGCCGGGGAAGAGGAGCTCCACCTCAGGTAGGAAACCTCCATTCTCTGGTCCTTATTGAATCAAATAGAGAAGTGAAAGTGTTGAGATGGGTTAGTGCTCAGCAGCTACAGGTTAGATGTGACAAGGGAAACCTGAAGTCTCCTCCAACAGAGTGAATATAGGACATAACACAGATCCAACAGGCCAAGAGAATCCAAGATTCAAACGTTTGATTGTCATCGGAAACAGTGTAGAGATATCAGTGACATTCTTCTGACCCGAGCTCCTCCAACAATGCAACATAATCAAATACACAAAATAAAGTAGTGCAAGAAGTCTAAATACAAGTACATGGAATATGATCTATAGATGAATAGGATGTGTATGGATGTTCTTTAAAGTCCATCTTAAAGGTGACTCTGATCTAACGCTGAGATTGAAATTCCAAAATGTGAAATATATAAAAAAGAGTGTTTGAATTTCCCCAGAGATTTAGACATTTGAGCAAATATGTAGCCGTGTTTTGATCCTGTATCCATCCCATAACCCCACAGACAGACGAGTGGGTCTTTTGAGCTTTTAAAAACCTTCTTTTAAGCTGTTAGAGATCTTAGTCATTTTGACATATTTAGCAAACATTTATCTGCAGCGTTTGGTCCTGAGCTCTCAGTCCATGACGAGAGTTGGTCTGAAATAGAAAGAGAATACAGGTGCGCCTCCCAGAGTCTTTGGGGAGCATCAGCCCGAACTCTGAGGTTTAAAGGAACTCTTTAAAATCAGCAGGTCTAAAAGAAAAGCTGTTAAATATCAAACATGTGCAAAACCTTCTAATGAGAGAAACCCCCGAATGATTAAAGATGTCTGAACTTCCCCAGAGACCTGGAGCGGATTCACTGTTTCCCACAGAATTTGATTCTATTGGTGGGGGCACCGCACCCCTCCCCCCGGCAAGAAAAGCCAAAGGCCCCTCTATGCATTCATCCACCCCCCCCTCAAATAAGATAATACATGCGAGTTAATGGCTACTGTAGACAACGATCTTGTTGCTCGGTGTTGCGTTGTTCATGAGTGAGACATTGAGTTGAGGCTCTGTGGGTTTATTCTCCCAAAAATATCATTTACAATTTAGCCTTATTCCAAAGCGATTTAAAATGACCAATCACAGGGACATCCTCCCTGGAGTAACCGAGGGCTAAGTGCCTTGCTCAAGGGCACACTAGTAGTGGTGTCCCAGGCAGGATTTGAACTCGCAACCTTCCGATCATCAGCCCGCCTCACTATCCGTTAGACCACCAAAAAAAAAAAAGATTTTTTTTAAAAAAAAATGTTTTAT